CTCTCCCAAAAAAAAAAAAGAAAAAAAACTCTCCAAAAAAAAAAAGGGGGGGGTGGGAACTAAATAAAGGACCCATGGAAGCCAAGAAAAGAAAACCTTAAGGGAAATAATACATTTACAGTATTATACCTATTTTTTTTATCAGTACCATAAGTTTGTAATGACCTTGCCTTTTCTTGAGTCATATTAAAGTCTATAGGTATGTCTTTTTTATTACAACCCTGTACCCACAATAAAATCTGCATTTTCAATTCAAAATTAAAAACTATTTGGCAAGAAGTACAAGGTTTCCATGCCTCCTGGCATGGATGGAGTAGCAGCTTCATGAGTTTCTTTTATTTATTTATTTTTTTTTTACAATGCATAGATTAGTTTTTCTTGAAATGCAAGCAACCACAGCTGTAGACTTCAATCTACAGTACATACAAAGCAATTCAGCTTTTTCTTTCATAATGTCATGATTTTTCTCTGCTTCTCAGGAGCAGTTACAGCATAACTAGTGTTGTTGGAGGTTTACTGTATTGCACTAAACACGATGAAAAATACACAAGAACTATGAAAGTTCACTTTTTTCTGCAGTACACAACTTACTACAGAGAAAAATGCCCACACAAAGATGATAGCATCGTACACATTTTAAATGAATACTTGAACTCATGAGTCACAAAAGTGGCTACAAAATTATTTCAGTAGCACATTATTACTGAGGCTGATTTTATGCAGCTATGATTTAGTAGTGTGTCTTTACATTTATATACTTTTTTAAAAAATTTTTTAATTTTAGAGGTTTTCGCTACAGGGCACGTGCGCTCACCAGACAGAGAGAAACATAGAGACAGAAAGCGAGAAATCACCTCCCAGGGGGGATAGTCACGCCGCAATCCCTTCTCCTCCATTCTCCTCTCGGGATCTTGGGCACGCACACGCACACGCGCCCGGTGTGAGTCTTAAGCCACTGGGTCCAGGACGTGAACCGCGGTCGACTACGTGGGAGTCCAGTGACATAGCCATTACACTAACTGCTGGTTCCCATACATTTATATACATTTTTGTCAACAGCAAATAGCATCACGTAGCATCTATAGTTATTTGTGTACATAAGTGTTTTTGGTTCTTAGTTTTTGCTCTAAGGTGCACGTGTTCACCAGAGAGGGAAAGTGAGAAATCACCTTCCTGGGGGGACACATGTCTCAGTCCCTTCTGCTCCCATCTCCTCTCAGGATTTTGAGTACACACATACACATGCCCAGTGTGATTTTCAAGCCGCCAGGTCCAGGACTTGAACCACAGAGTCGGCTTTGTAGGATTCAACTGCCTTAACTTCCACACCACCTGGTTGTTCAAGTTTTGATTATTTTTAACCTTTTGTATAGACCTCTGTATATATTATAGTAGAAAATTATAAAATAGACTAGTGCCTACACATATTTTATGCATATATAACATACTTATCTTTTTTATTAATTTTATGGTATTTCTAGACTACATAACCTGTCTGTAAAGAAGACATGCATGAGCCAGATGGTGGTGCAGCAGTAATGGAATTGGGCAAACATGGGAAGGTCTCTGGTTCACGTCCCTGGGCCTCTCAGTGCATGTTGCCCATGATCCAGGGTGGCTGAGGTTGGAGATAAATTATAACATGGTGACCCTGTTGGAGGTACCTGTCTTTCTCTCTCTCGTTCTCTCTCATGGAAGAAATAATTAAACCTTTTTTTTTTAAAAAAAAAAAAGAAGACATACAAGTTGCTAACAGATATATGAAAACATTACTAATCATTAGGGAAATGCACACTAAATCCAAAGTGAGGTATTATTCACACCTATCATAACGGCTGTCATTAAAAAGACAAATAATAACAAGCACTGGTGAGAATGTGGAAAGAAAATAATCCTTGTAGATTGTTTGTGGGGATATAAATTAGTACAGCCATTGTGGAAAA